ATACCTTTTCGCACATTTTTCCAATTTGATTTCAGCTTAATTTATTTTAATTACTTAAATTGTTTAAAACGGCATAAAATTTACTCTAAGCGAAATGTTAGGCGCCATTACGATCCTGAATGTGAGAATTCCAGATCGTGACACTAGCTTAGTACATGCACAGAAGGGAAGAGTGCACAAATATTAAGGGAGATTTCAACCAAAACCTAAGAGAATACTTAAGAAAGTTAATTCATATTTTTTTCAGAATTTATCATAGATTTAACCTTTTTCATAATTTTTATCATAATTTTAAAAAAAGATCAACTTGTTACATAATCTCCACGATTTGTTTTCAATGGCTGATTCGTAGTCGACACTTTTTCGCAACTCTAGAACTTTGTTAAGCATATAGGTCATTTCTAATTATGCAATATTAAGATATGGTGGGGTCATGGAATCTTATTTTATCTGTTTGTCGCGTGCTAGATGTGTAATAAATAATGCGAGAAAAAGATTCGAAACATTGTCCCTGGTAAAGTAATTTGAATTTTTTCCAAAAATACGTACTTAAGTAATAATAAGTAACAATGCTAGGAAAATAATACGTGAAGTACAGATGAAAATGCTGCAAAAATTTAAGTACAGTGAAAGCGCCAATTATTGGGAAAAAAAAAAAAAACCAATTTCCAATTTTAGTTTGAAATAATAATGGATAACCAACGTAGTCAAGAGGGACGGTAAAAACTACTCAATAAGGTTGACAAATTTGTTAGCAGCCTAGCTTGATTACTTGCCCAACTTGTAATCCAATTCCTACTATATTTTACTCCTAAATAAGATAAAAAAATCTTAACCACTAGTGGGATAAAAATAATACTACTATTCATCTCATTTCATGTAATCTATTTGACATACTTATATATTATATTAGTAGTAGTATTGGAAGACTATATTAACATAGTGATTAAAATGTTAAAAACAATACTAGGGAACTTGTTCAATTTGTTTAATATTTGGTGGACAAAATATTAATTTAAATAAATAAATAATACATTAATGTTTAAGTTTCGAACGATTTAGTGGATTTTAATTGGAGAAGAATGTGAACTTGTGAACAGGGGCGGAGCTAGCACAGACTTGCGGTTCAGCCTAATCCAATAACTTTAGTACAAATTCTGTATTTTTTAAAAAAAATTATTGAGTATGCATAAATTATTAATTTAGAACCTAATAACATAAACGAACTAGAATCACGAACCCATAATCTTTAAATCTTGACTCCGTCTCTACTCGTGAATGCGGAATACTTTACTGAACCCTTGCGTTACGCCTAATCCTCGGACCCTGCGTGAACATCCCTTGTTTGTTAATTTGAGGAGAATATGAAAGTTATACAGAAATAAAATTTAAAAATATATTAAGACCTCTCAAAATAAAAAGAGTGTCATATAAGCAACGCGGAATGAGTATTCTTTATGTAGTTTTATCTTATATATACCATGTTTTTAAATTATTAAAAATTATTTACAAAAGGAAAAAATGCAAAAGAAAGAAAAAGAAAAGGAAGAAGGTAGTTTGGGAAGGAAGAAAAGAAAGAAAGTGGGCAAGGAAGACGGAACCGAAAGTAAGAAAATTATGTAACCACCACTTCTTTCTTTTCTTTCTACACTTCTTATTACACTGTCCCTTTCCGCTGAAAACTCCTTTAATTCCGTAATAATACTATTACTCTTCAAACAAAAGAAGCCAAGAATGGCGAAAACCACCGTAGAGGGAGGAGGAGGGCTGCCGGCGGCGGCTAAAGAGGCGGCAGAACTGAAAAAGGAGTTGCAGAGAGCAGTAAAGGCTGTAGTTGAAGACGATGATTACAGTTTAGAAGCCACCGATCGAGCCATGCAGTGTTTATGTGCTTTAAAAGAATTGAAATTGAAACCTTTGAATTCAAATCCTCTTGATATTCGTAGCCTTTCTTTGAGTTTACCAATTCCACCCAATGAATTTGTTTGTCCAATTTCTGGTCAGCTTATGAAAGACCCTGTTGTTTTGGCTTCTGGCCTGGTAATTGCTTCTTTTCCTTCACTCTTTCATTTTAGCAGTAATTTCCAGTTTCTTTGTATTAATGTTTTTCAATTATTCTGCTCATTAAAAGAAGTTTCTTCATTTTATATATACGTCGTTTAAAAGTATAATTTTATTGCTTTCCTTTACTGTTCAATTTCAGTTTTTTCTTGTTTACTTTTTTGGGGGGTATTTTATTTGTAGTAAATTGCCTTGATTAATCTTTTATTTTATGGATACAGTAGTATGTTCAAATTGTAATGTTTTTTTTTGGGGGGAGGGATTAGTTCTTCACCTCTGTTTCGTGGTTCTTAAAATTATTCTTGTTCAAGTATAGGAATAAGTATTACCTGCTTGATACACATCACATGTGAACATTTATTATGAATATAGTGTCATTTATATGTGAAATAGTTTTGACATTTAATAGCTGTGAAAAATCTGAAGAATAAATTTCTCTTCACGCTCACCTTAACATTTTCTTGTTATCTACAAAAGCAAGAAAACTATACGGTACTTGAAGGATGATGTACGTCCAATGTTCGATTACATCATCCTTGTCGAACACAAAAAGAGAATGCCAGATATACGAAGCATAATGTGCAATCTCCAAATTGTTGTACCTCTTGTTGAAAGGTTGTATATTGTTCTGTATTAGTGATTGTTTTTCCACAAGTATCACATCAAAGGCGGGATTCAAAATTAAATATTACTCCCTTCGTTCAAATTTACGTGAACTTGTTTGACTGAACGCGAAATTTAAGAAAAAATAAAGACTTTTGGAATTTGTGGTCCTAAACAATTCAAAAAGGGGCTCAGTGTATTTGTGTGGTTATAAAAGCTTCTTATTAAGGTTAGAATTGTAAGTAAGCAAAAATGTTTCAAAATTTAGAAATGGGTCATTCTTTTTGGAACGGACTAAAAAGGAAATACGTTCACGTAAACTGAAACGAAGGTAGTAGAATAAATGGCCTTTGGGATAGGGAATTGGTTAAAATTGCTTTGTTAGTCGATGTTTATTAAGAAGAGCTAGAAAAAAGAATCTCCATAAATCTTATCTACCAGTTGCAATTTTACAGATTTTCTGTGTCAGTAAACATGAGTCAAGAGAGGAATGGAACTACAAACCTTAGATTTAGTTGTATGTTTCCACATAAATATACATGGTGAAATTTATTTGCCAAACAACTTGATTGCTGGAGAGGAGGCTACGGGCATTACTACATTATGTTATTCAGCTTAACTTATATCAGCTCAGAGTTCCTTCATGCCAAATTCTCTTTCAACTATTCTACTAGGAAATTGCTAAACTTTTTCTATCTTTGTGATTTTCCTTAATACTTGGATCAACTCGAACTTCACTAAATGGTTGTTTTCATTAAAATTTTATGTATGTTATGGTGGTTTGCAGACATATGACAGACCATTCATTCAAAAGTGGCTGAAGGATGGCCATCGTACGTGCCCTGAAACAAAGCAGGTTCTTTCCCATTCAGTTCTCACCCCAAATCATCTTGTGAGAAAAATGATTTCACATTGGTGCCAGAAGCATGGAATTGAGCTGCCCGGCCCTTCTCATGATGAGGACCATGATATAATCACAAACGCAGACCGAGATCGTTTAAATTTACTGCTTGAGATATTGTCCTCTAGTAATGTTTTGGAGCAGAAAAAAGCTGCAAAAGAAGTTCGCGTTCTGACTAAACAGATGCCATCTCTACGGGCTGTTTTCGGGGAGTGCAATGATGCCATTACCAAATTGCTCAATCCTCTATTGTCTGGTAACGTGAGTAATCATCCTGATCTACAAGAAGATTTGGTCACAGCAGTTCTGAACATCTCAATACATGACAGCAATAAAAAGCTAATAGCTGAAAATCCTGTTGTCGTTCCTTTACTCATTGAGTCGTTGAAGTTCGGAACGCTTGAAACAAGAAGCAATTCTGCTGCTGCTCTCTTCACATTATCAGCACTTGATTCAAACAAGCATATTATCACAAAGGCAGGTGCTCTCAAGCCTTTAATCGACCTTTTGAATGAGGGACAACCATTGGCCATGAAAGATGCTGCTTCCGCAATTTTTAATCTGAGCATTGTCCACGAGAATAAGGGTAAAGCTGTCGCCGAAGGAGCAATAAAGGTGATTATGAAGAAGATCAGGGGTCGCGTACTCATTGACGAGTTATTAGCTATTCTTGCCCTGCTGTCCAGTCATCACAAGGCAATCGAGGAGATGGGGGAGCTGGGTGCAGTCTCTTGTCTCCTAAGTATCATAAACGAGGACACAAGTGATCGCAACAAGGAGAACTGCATCGCAATCCTCTACACGATGTGTTATAATGATCGTACAAAGTTGAGAGAGATCTGGTTAGATGAGAGTGTCAATGGGACGATATCTAGTCTTGCTCAAAGTGGGACCTCTAGAGCCAAGAGGAAGGCGAATGGCATTCTTGAGCGGCTAGATAGATATGTTTCTCTTGTGCACACTACTTGAGGATGAATATTTTGGGTATATGTACATTCCTAATCACCCCATGTAAGTGATCTTGCTTCTTAGTAGATCTTATACAACTGAATTCTGTACTTGTAGGAAGATATAGATTCTTTTTTCGTGTCCATCTTGAGACTTGTAGATTACTGTAAAAATGAAATTCTCAACAATAAGTACATTTAAGTTTCATTGTTAGTAGTTTGTTCTACTTATACAGATACATCCTGCTTGTGGCTTCTCTGATAATGTTCAAATTTGCTGCTCTCTTGCTTTACTATTGGTTTTACTGTTGTCTTCTGCGCGTGTTATTTGTACAAGTGAATATATAGTGTTTTTAGGTTCAGTTGGTTCAGGGTAGTGATGCCTGAAACGATATCATGGCGTTTGGTTAATTTCAGGACAAAAACTCAGCCGAATTATATTCCTTGCTGGTGAAGGGATGAGCAAATAGCAATACCTGTGCCAGAAATGGAGCAAAATATCCAATATATCAATATGTAAATAAAATGTTCCCTTGATATATCAAGGTTTAGGGTTTAGAGCTTTTATGTATATCAATAAAACATTATAAAGCTAACGTGAAATTAGTTAAGTCAGTATCACTTTAGGGACATAAACAAACAATCCAACGACATTTGATGTGAAAAATCAGTCATATACTACCCCTATTAGTTCTACAAAAAGAAGATTTCATTAGCTACTAATTAAATCTTTAGTAAAATAGCTTCGCCACAAGACTGAAGTTGACGATGATAATCAATATCTCCATGTCCATAGCCTTTGGGGATGATACTTATGCCTTACAAGGCGGAGCAAGGCATCTTGAGAAGAATCCAAACATTCTCTTCTGTATCCATATCAAAACAATGAATGAAAAGAAAAGGGTCAGAAAAATGCTATTTTATCAGTTGGTTTAGTGTAAACAAAATCATTGAATGTGAAGGTGAACTCACTTTCTCAATTTCATAGTGCTTTTTCTTTACAAAAACTTAAGATACAAACAGAGAAAAAGAAAGCTCGAGTTTCTTGATTATATTGGAGTCAAGTTATTTTTCTGATCGTAGCTCAGTATGTAGAGATGTGATATTAATGTTGACAACCTTCTTTTTGTTTTTTCCGATTGCCAATATTATTGTATGTCCATGTTAGTGCTGATTGGTGATTTGACAGATCTTTGTCGGTATTCTTAACTATCAAATAATTGGAGAAACAATATTAATGTGAATAAATTAAAATTGAGGGACTACTTGAATTTATTGAAGCGAGATTATCCATCTGATATCACTATAAAAAAATTGTAAAACTTTGTGCTGAAAATAGTAAAATGACAAGCTCGAAACAAGGAAACAGCCAAGGGGCATAAATGTGCCCATACTAGTGTTTATCTCAGACGATGAAATTTAACCTAAAGATTCACAAATAAAGGATAAACACATCAATTAATCATGCAAAGTGATAAAAAGTGTACAAAAAACACATATATATTATGTATTTATTAATTAAATGTAAACACGAATAAATATTTTACGATAAAGACTAACTCGCTTATAGCCGGGAAGAAGATGAGGAGGAATTTTGTAGAGATCTTCATCCACAGGTTTGGGATTTGTGGGCCGCTGGGCCACTGTTGCGGACTTCATTGTAGGCCCACTGTCGTTCTTTAATTTCTCTGCTTTACCTGTCCATTTCTGCTCTGGACACCTCTTCTTATTTATTGCTGCCTTTGTCTGCACTTACGAGTTTATTATTATTCAATCTACAGTAATGTAATTTCGAGAGATTTATAATTTCTTGAAATTTATATGGATTTAGGTCAGAATATAAAAGAATAATCCACATAAGCAATATCAGTTAGTTAGTTGTGGTTACATTTCAGTCATGTTTATGTTACTTTGGCATGTTTGCGCTATAAAATCTACGCAACAATTCATTTAAAGTCAACTTAACTAATTGGGGATTGAAACCTTATTTAACACAATTTCTCCCTCTCCTTTTCACATTAACTCTGGAATCTTTAGAACAGCATATCATATTTCACATGGTAGGCGGTCCATCAGACAGTTCCTGAACATGCATACTGTACATATTTGAATATTTGACGTTCTGCCTAAAAACTCATATAATATACTGAGTTCGAGGCCAATAATGGAGCTAAAAAGTCAAGCATCAAATCTTGACTTTCCAAGTCCAATGTTGAAATTGGGTTGAGTTTGTTGGAAGCCTTTGCTACTTCCAATGACTCTTTGAGGAACACGAGTTCTAAGATTCAAAGAACCCCATTTTCTTATAGCCAATATAATTGTACCCTACATCACCAGGGTTACTATATTATTTGGTTTACAGCTATACAATTTCATACCTGATATTTGAACATACGATCATTGACTATATCATATTACAATCTTAGGCTCCAAATATTAATAGTTTTAGCAAATTAAATTTATTTTTATTTCACAGTTTAGAAAAACAGGAAGTTGTTTATTATTCTTTTTCCAGATCTATATGCTTCAATTAGTGGAGCGTTACTAAAGTAAAATAATTAAGTGAAAGACAATTTTTTATTTTTTATTTTTGTAATAAAGACAGATTGTCAAATGTCTTGCTTAAGTGGTATTCAATAATTTTCTAAAGACAAATATATCATGAACCACAGAAAGTATTTTTCGAGTTTAAATTCTATATTCAAAAAAGCTTTAATAAAATTGAAATAGGCGTGCGTATCTGTCTAACCACGAAGGTTTAACATGCACAAACTAACTACCATAAGGATCATCGTACTCTAAATTAGGTCATCTATTTTTATTTTAATAAGTGTAAATAGGCACTAAAAGAAAACTAAGTTATCAAGAGTAGGCGATGGGATGTAAGGAGAAGAAAAAAAAAGAGATAAGAAAATCTCCAAAATGCTAAAAAGAGGAGGAAAAAAAACTTACCTTTCTTTGAGGAGCATTAGGGATAGCATAAAAGTGAGGTTTGTGGAAATGAAGAGCATAAAGATCAGTAGTATTTTCTTCAAGTGATGAATGGCAGCTATGGCGGATCAATCCTGCTTGTCTTGCGCACTCGAAATACTGTGTAATTGGCATCTCATTTGCATTATCCCAATCTCCAAATACTGGAATCTGTCCACCTCTTTTACACTCCTATAATACATTATATCCATTACATGTGTATAGAACAAAAAAAAAATGCTTTCAAGAAATTGCACTATATATATAGTGAGAGAAGAGGAACTTACCATTTCCATAATTTGTTTGGTCCAGAGACAGGAAAATTGGTGAAGTTAAACAAAGGAAAGGGGAGGAAATCTTGGAGAAATGATGTTTCTTGCTCTTCTTTAATTTGTAAGCTAGAAGTGAAAGATGAAGTCTAGTTGAGTGGGTTGTTTAGGTAAGTGGGGTGGGGTATAGATAATATATGGAGCTTTCTATCTATATAGATTTCATAAGTTAGGTAGTAGCATAATCTACACTTTTTAAAGGTCAAGCAAAGGTTTCCAACTTTAGGAGAATTAATGGAAACACCTTCCACCAAACTTTGCACTTCCAATATATTAATAATTAAAATAGGACTTGAAAAATACTAATGTATGACATCAACTGTACCTTTCGTTTTCACTACGAAACTGAAATTTTCTATTGTACATTTATCATTAAGAATTCAATAATAGTGGTTTAATTTTTAATGATTACTAGAGTTTGAACCATAGACTGCCATAAAACACAAAATTGACTAGCTTTCCTTTTTCAGCATAGATTATCAATTTAGACCTATGCTAGCAATATGTTCTGTCAACAAAATGTAGGACGTAATATCTAAGTTGGACTAATTAAAATCCATTTTAACATACCATAAGTATATATGTTGAACTTGTAGTAATATTAGAGTATTGTCTAATTAATAAATTTGCATATATCATTCAAATTAACTCTCACCAATGGAAAAAAGAGGAGCTAGCTACTAATAGAGAAAAGTGGTAGTACTAGTGTACACAGTACTACTATGAATTTGAAACTCCAATTATAAAAGTATGGTTGACAAGAAAGGAAGTTAGGTTACAAGAGAAAGAAAGGACAAAAAGACTTGTCAGTCTTAACGTGCATGTGAACAGTGGACTCTTTTCCATTGTCAAATTAAGGGTAAGACTAAAAAGTAACTTTCTGGGAACCTGTCGTTGACAATGGCTGCACCCATACCGGAGTTGATCAATCTAGGCTAGCTCTTCTTTTCCACCTTTTTTGGCTCTTTTACTTTACTTTTAGCTGCGCACGCAAAGACACCCTATATTTGCGCCATAGATCTGGTAAAATTAAAGGAAAAACTCCGTCTCAGGTGAGAAAGGTAAGGAGGACATTAATCTAGATAACTATTCTCTCTACATCCCCATAGCCTTTTGGGGACTCAATGACCAACTTTGTTTAGAATTAAAATCAAACTCATCCTTCGATTTTTCATAATACACATTTGCCTCCACCTCTCCTATGCAACGTCTAATTAGCCCTTGACATTTTCAATCCCTCCTATAATTACTATTGTTTATTTTTTTCATAAAAGGATTGAAAATGTCAAGGGTTAACTAAACATTGCATCGGAGAGGAGGAGGCAAATATATCTTTTATTATATTATGTATGATATTTTATTCTTTTTACCTAAGTAATTTACCTATAACTTCTTTGAGTTTTTGTTATAAAGTATAATTTATGATTGTTATTTTAATATTATGTGCATAAAGTGTATCCTTAAGTTTCGCTTTCTCTCTTATTGTCTATTATATTTTTTGAGTTTTTATTGCTATTATAATAGATAGTCTTTATAAATTTTTGTAAAATTTACCTCTATTTTTAATAATGATTTTGTGTTACACGCATTTAGTATATTTTTATAAGGTTCTCTCTTCTTTTATCGATTGTATAAATATAATTTCGAGTTTAAAGAAAATTATTATTATTATTTTTTTTAATTTGATAATTTCTTCGATATTCAATGGCATTAACTTATATGCTTGATTCTTGTTTTTTACTTCTTTCTGATTGCAGAAATTAAATCTATTTATTTCGTTTGTAAGTCCATAACATAAAATTTTAAAAAAGAGGAAAAAATTAATGATATTAGAAAGAAGTATAAAAAATAAGTTAAAGCCCGATAATCTTGAGGGTAAAGTTGGCATTAAAAGTTTTTAATTGTGATAGCAGGATAAGAATGTCTATAGTTCAAAGTTGGAGGAGGAGTTTAAATTTTAATGTAATGTTAGAGGGTGTAAACAATTTTTACCCAATTTCATACTGATACTCAGGTCTATACTTATTTATTTTAATTTATGTGAATATATTATTTTTTAGTTCATTTTAAGAAATGATTATCTCTTAAATTTAGAAATAATTTAATTAAAATTTTTAGTTTACCCCTAATGAAAAACTCTTATAGTGATCCCACAAGCGGGGTCCGAAAAGGATGGAGTGTAGCAGACTTTACCCCTACATTTGTGGGGTAGATAGGTTATTTCCGGTAGACCTTTATGTCAAAAAAAGTATTTTTTAAACAAACTTGAAAATACAAGAGTAATAAAAATATGATGAAAATGTTATAGTACAAGAAAGGTGACAACCAGGAGATTTAGGAGGGCAGAAGAGGGTTCACCCAAACCCCCTTCGTTGGAAAATTGTGTTGTATATATAAAGCAAAATCCGTTTTGTACTTGTATATATTTATATTTTATTTTGAATCCACTTGACACAACCCAAAAGCATAACTCAGTGATCAAGGGGGTTCAAAACCTTTGTAAGGTTGTTGGTTCTATTCCCACTGTCCATAGTCACTTTTAATTTTTAAACTTTTTCTGTTTTGAACCCCCTTAGCGGAAATCCTACCTCCGCCACTGGTGACATGACATAAATATTATGACATGTTCATAATTTTTAAAGTCTTATAATAACACAAATATGATGACATATTTAAGACTATAAAGTTCAAACACATATTTCTTTTTAAATTTCATATACAATCAAATATATTCACATAAACTAAAATGTAGGGTAATAAATAACGGAGTCAATTTCACCTTACCCCCTCAACCATTTAGTGTTGGGAATAATATCTCCCCCCCCCCCCCCCCCCCCGAATGGGAAAGAGAGCCCCCTTTAACTAAGGAATCAACAAGCACAATGAGAACTATCACCGAAAAACTCAACCGACTTTTATGATAACTAAATCAACTTTTAAGAAACTTAATTTTGTTGTTATTAAACTGATTCAAATACAAATAGTATATTTTATTTTATTTTATGGATCCTGTTATCCTCAATATGCGAACATTCGGCTCCAATGACGTTCTAAATTCTTTTGTGCCAACTAATAAAGGTTGACGGATAAATAGATTTAAGTCATTGTGCTGCTTAATCTCATAAATAGTTATGAAATTGATGTGTGACACCAACTAGTTGACGAAATAGAAGAATGATTTTAGAGAATTTTCCTTTTCTGTATTGATTGTATCTTTTCACTGTATAAGGACTGTGTATAAATACAAGAAGAAAAGAATCTGTGCATTACTACCTATCCTACGTGTCCTTATTGTATTGACTATTCTATAACAAACAAAGAATAATATTTACAACTGAAATCTTTCTTCTATTCCCTTATATTCTCTTCTATTCTCTTCTAGTTGGGCCTAATAATAGGCAGACAGATAAAAGGCCCAAAGATTGAGTATGAGCTGGGTTAAGGAGGCCAAAATCGACGAAACCAGCCCATAGAAAGGAAGGATTTGGAAAATGCATGTGCCAAGCATGTGTAAACAAAATAATACAAAAGACTTTGGTCTTTATAGACAAAATCTATTAGACCAAACCCTAATTTCAACTCAAACCCTCTTCTCTGTCAAACTCCATCGAAGAATCATAAATCCCTTTATCATCTCCAACACCCCTCCTCAAGTTGGAGAGGGATGCAAGAAATCCAACTTGCCCAAAAGTCTATGGTGAATCGTCCCTGTGAGAGATTTTGTGAAGAGATCGGCTAACTAAGAAGAGGATCGAACAAAGGATAGAGAGACCAGACCTGCAAGAAATTGCCGACGAACAAAATAATAATCGATCTCCACATGTTTCGTCCTCTCATGAAACACGGGGTTCTTCGCGATGTGGATTGCTACTTGGCTATCAGAGTGCAGAGGGACAGGAAGAGAAATTGGAATGGCAAGGTCATCAAAGATGCACACAAGCCATGTGAGCTCTGCAACTACACGCCTCATTGATCGATACTCAGCTTCGACAGAGCTAAGGGCGATGGAAGTCTGCTTCTTTGACTTCAAGGAGACGGGAGAGCTTCCAAGTGAAATGTAAAACCCACTAACGAATTTACGCGATTCAAAACAAGTTTCCCAGTCAGAATCACAAAAAGCAAGCACCTGAAAAGAGGGCGATGAAGACAAATAACCCAAAGCCAGGGTCCTTTAGCAAGTATCGAAGCACAAGAAGGGTTGCATGCATATGAGGCTGCCGGGGATCTTTCATATATTGACTGAGGTGCTGAACCATGAAGGAGAGATCCGGCCTTGTATGGGTTAAGTAATTCAGCTTACACAGTAAATGGCGATACAAGGTCAGATCTTGAATAGGGTCACCAGTTTTGGCCAAGAGTCTAATAGTCGGATCAAGTTGGCAAGAAATAAGGGTTTTGTTCAATACATCAAATTCAGTGAGGAGATCAAGTGCAAATTTCTAGGACAAAATCTGACCATCAGATTCTCGGAGTACTTCCATCCCCAAAATATAATGTAAGGCCCCTAAATCCTTGATTTTGAACTCATGGTTTAAGAATAACTTTAAAGCATTTAGTTCTTTAGTATTATTGTCTGTTAGTAGAATTTCATCCACGTAGAGTGCAACTATGGATATTGAAGAATCCGTCTTCTTAAAAAATAGAGAGTAGTCATTTAAGGAATGTGAATAGCCCTTAAAATTGAGAGTTGTTGTTAACTTAGCATACCACTGACGAGAAGCTTGGCGTAACCAGGCTTCTTTAAATGACAAAATTGAGTAGGAGAAGAAGGTGAGGGAACTTCATATAAACCTCTTCATTAAGATCACTATAAAAAAATGCATTATTAACATCCAATTGGTAGAACCCCCATCCCCTTTTCATAGTTGCAGCAAGAATACATCTGATTGTAGTCATTTTCACCACTGGTGAAAAGGTTTCAGTGAAATCCACTCCTTCCCTTTGAATATCTCCTCTTACTACTAGCGGAGACTTTAGTCTCTCTACACTATTATCATAGTGGTGTTTAACCTTATACACCCACTTGCAAGGTAGTGTTTTTCTACCAGGGGATAATTCCACTACTTCCCAGGATTGATTTTGTTCAAGAGCTTTAATTTTCTTTGCCATGGCTTCCTGCCAACCTGGGTGATGTGCTGCTTGATTGTAGCTGGTAGGCTCTTAATGTGATGACCCGATAGGTAAATCTCA